ATGGTGACTAACCCGGTATACTCTGTCTACCAAAACTTTTCATTTACTTTTATGTTGCTGTGAAACATCCAATAACCCATTTTCCAGATTGCATGGGCTCAGCTATGGAGGATGAAACGTGACATAATCATAAATAAATCAATCAATAGAAAAATGTATGAATTTGTATGAATTTATGTGTTTTTCTTTTTTTTATTCATCTCTTTGTAAATGAGTTGGGCAGCCCTAATCCTTTCTCTAAGGCATTACTGGCCAGCAGACTAAGCTGATCTGCACTCCATGACCTTGGCCTTGTTTGGATGAGTAGAAGTTTTAGCTGACATGTTAGTAATGCAAAGTTCGCACTACATGACTTTCCAAGTTGTGAGATTTCTATACCGTTCATATTTAAGGTGCCAAAACTATGTCAATATGTGTACTGTTCATGTTGATAAACATGTTAAAAGGTAATGGAGCAGAGATCAGCAAAGTCCCCCCTGGGCAATAGTGCTTTAGAAAAAAGGCTTAAGGCTGCCCAACTCATTTACATACAGATGTGGAATCAAACTGGAATAAAAAACACAATTCAAAAAAAATCTTTCAGGCTCAATAATTTCAATAATTTAATGTCATTTTATTTTTAAATAATTAAATAAAAGTTATTACATTTCATAATAATGTGTGTCTTCTACGTATAATCATTAAATTGTATTTTGCAATAATTTTGTGATTGTCATTAGATATTATATTTCAACTTAAATAATTCAAACTATATTTCACAATAAAGTTCAGCTTTTCACATTGATGTATTTCTGAATGACGGTTCTATGAACCAGCTGTTTATTTCATGATGCCAGAGTGTCCTGTCAATCACTTTGAGGTTGGTGGGACTGAGCCTGTGATTTGCTAATCCTTTGTGATTCATTACTCAGCGTAGCAGATATAGGGAGTGGTTTGAAAAGTCCTGGGAAGCTGTAGAGGATGTAAAGGAAGTCAGTAGTTGGATGTGTAGAGTAGCAGAGCAAATGCAGGAAAGAGGCTCTGTCATGCCAAACCTCTTACCCCTATGAAATGCCATTGGGGTATACATCGAGATACATCTTCATATGGCATTTTTCACCCTCTAGACATGGTAAACATTCCCTTTTAAAAAAAACCCATGTAGACATGCATTTTCTATATCGCATCTACATGGTACAAATGTGCATGTTAAAAAAGGTCTTTCAGTACTAAGATATACCCAGACTAATACTGATCTATTCAAGGGTTCAGTCTGTACTGCATTATATTGGTTGCCTAATATTTCAAATTTTAATCATAACCAATGAAACTAAAAATTTGTGTAAATTTAAACTGTTTTCGCAGAAACACTTTATCCAATCACAAGCTCGACTCCACCCCCCTGACAGTGACTGACAGAGTGCACCATTATTATGAAAAGAAGCATTATGAAATAATAAGCTGGTTTGGAAACGCAACATTCAGGAATACATCAATGTGAAAAGTTGAACTTTATATTTTATAAATGAGCTCCTTGGCTAAGATATGTGGTAATACTTTTATCTGCTGTCAATTGTGAATAATATCCATGTTTTTTGCTGTTGTTTTTCTCTTTATAATCTAGGAATATACACGTTCAAAATGACTCAGTCATTCTTGACATTCACCCACGAGGAATCCATTTCAGTGACAGATGTAATTCCTCCCATTATTCAGCTGAATAAATATGTAATTAATGTTCAATATGGAGCAAATGAAAATATCTCATTGGAGTGTTGTGTTACATACTACCTAATTAACAACGTTACAGCAAAATGGATGAACGGATCTGTTGAAATACCCTCTGGTAATTTTTACAATTTCAAATAAATATATATTTGTTTTATTGTCCATTGGCAAGTTCCTGTACATTGCTCTATGTACATGTAATTTACATGGGCATCAATATTATTTTACATTATTGTATGCATAAATTTCTTTAAAAGATGTTTAAACTGATTTAATATCCAGGTACTCTGCATGTAAAGCTGGTCTGCATCTAGATAATTAATTTTCAATGAGAAAATTATCCTTTTAAACAGTAACAAATGAACTCTAATAATGTAAATGGAAAAAAGACATTGTGTCACTCAGAAAGTTTAAAAATTAATGTAAATGTGACAAAAGTATTTGTTTGAATATTTTATATGCTTAATATTGCGGTTGAATATTGTACATTTGATGTTTTTCGTTTTACAGTACCGACCACAACAAACATGCTATGTATCAGCGCTGCATACCCAGTACCAAAGCAATGGAATACAATGGAACTCACATGCCAAGTGATTGTCAAGAAAGCATCTACAACTCAAACATTGACAAAAAATGTAACGTTAACGTTTTTCCCTGGAGGTACGATGTTAATGAGTGTTTTAAGACAAGCGGCCCTATTCAGAATGCAGCCCTATTCAAAATGAATTTTCATTCCCTTTGTTAAAATTGCACAATGAAATGCATTTTGTCCATTGGCTGCATTTGTAAAAAATTATGTAGTCCCAGTGGAAACATGCCTTTGCTTCACTAATCTTAAAACACTAATCCAACTTTAAGCATCTTAAAGCCCTAATCCATCTTCACATGTATTTATTCCAGTGCCTGACTGTAATGACCCAACATACGGTACTGGTATGAATGGAAATATATCAACTGTACTTTGCCCAGCCAATTTTACGGGCAACAGGACTGCAGTTTGTGCCAGATTGCGAAAGCCAAATTGGAACATTCAGGAGGACAACTGTGTCTTCAGCGCAGTAAAAACATTGGCGTTGTTTTCTCAGGTAGCACATTTTGAATACTAATCATCCATCCACCCACCTGTTGTCATACTGCTTAGCCAGTATAAGGTGATAGAGTACATTAATCATATATTCATTGTGTCATTCTGTAGAACTACAATATGTTTCCACACATCATGCATGATAATACAGCGATAAGGAGAACATGCAGACTCCATACACACAGGGCGTAGATGTGATTTGATTTCCTAGCCCTGTAGATGTGAAGTAGCAGTACTATCCACTCAGCCACTGTGTCATTTCATATAGGTTAAGTTTACATTATATATTGCATTTCAAGGAAACTAATTATAGGGAAAGAATCTGATGTTTTGTCTAAAATTCAGTTTAAAGGAACTAATTGCTATATTGTTAGTTCACTGACTTTTCTGTTATCTATTATCAATTTAGAAAATGGTCATTTAAAATTCCAAGTTTAAGTTATGGAAACATTAAAATGTCCTTATCAACAAATTGAGTTATCAACAAGTGTGAGTTACTGTAGCAATATGTGAGTCTGTGTTGTTTGCTACAAATCATACTATTTGTACACACTCAATTAATTGGTAGTTACTGACTATTCCAAAGCATTGGTCCTTGGTATCTTGGTATGAACATTTGTCAAAAAAAAAATCTGTCTAAAATTCTTCTGTTAATTTAAAGTTCTTTACCTGTCCACAGATTCTGAGTCCAGCTAGTGTATCATCATTTGTGAATGACCTTAAGACAACCACTACCAGTTATAAATCAAACATAACACAGTCATCAGCCACCATTTCCTCTATTGTGAACATACTTGGCATAGTTGCAAGTGTTTCACAAAATATAAGCGAAACTTCAATGCGGGTATGTTGAAACAGCAATGTTTTTTGTTGGGGGGGGGCATCATATTGGGATGTAAGTTTAGACTGTCTTAGTTATTTGGTTTGTAATGGCTACGCTGCATTATTAATTTTATAATTAGCACCATGTTACTTTCATATATGGTCTGTTGTGTAAATATGAAGGAAATTATGTTTATTTAATACAAATAGGATTTCAAACCCTGATAAAAAAAATACCGTGTTTAACTATAACATAAAAAATCCAGGAAATAAGTAGTGTACCCTAAATCTTAAAGTCATGTACTTAACATATGTATTTACACATGTATGTATTTAATATAATTATTGGATTTTACCCATACATTCAGGGTGTTTTGGAAACAGTATCAATTTTGGTGTCACCCGAAACTCAGCAATCCTGGGCAGGACTGAACAGTAACAACAGATCCCAAAGCACAAGCTCTGCTTTACTGGAATCAATAGAAAACATTACACACAGTCTATCAAGCAATTCCTTTACAATTAATACAACAAACATTCAGTTAATCAAAACAACATTAACAGGCCCTTTCAATGAATCCACGATTTCATCTCAGATATTCATCCCAAGTCAAGGTCTTCCCAACAACACGAGTATCACAACAATCGTCTTTACAACTCTTGAGTTTGTCTTACCTAACAGGACCACTGGAAACAGTACGGACAGCTCCATCAATGGAGTTGTCATGTTAGCCTATATAAACGAAACCATTAATAATGTTTTGCTGACATTTGATAAAACAAACAAAACAAAGGGAAACAGCCATTGTGTTTCTTGGAACTTTGGCATCGGAGGCTGGGACTTTAATGTATGTGAACTGCAATCTGAAACAAATGACAGGGTCACCTGTTCCTGTAAACGCCTGACTTCCTTTTCCATATTAATGTCACCTTTTGTACCTGAATCCATTAAGGTTCTTTTGAATTACATCACCTACATTGGAGTCAGCATATCAATGGGATGCCTGGTCTTATGCCTTATAATTGAAGCATTTGTGTGGAGCGTTGTCACTAAGAACAGCACGTCACACATGCGACACGTCGCTATAGTGAACATTGCTCTGTCTCTGCTGATTGCTGACATATGGTTCATCATTGGAGCAGCAGTGTCAGACGTTGGCCAGAGCACACCGGAGAAAGCATGCAGTGTTGCAACCTTCTTCATTCACTTCTTCTATCTTGCCTTGTTCTTCTGGATGCTGATCTCAGCTCTCTTCCTCTTCTACCATACAATGTGGGTTTTCTCTCACATATCAAAGAGCACTATGATGGCCATCGCCTTCACAGTGGGTTACGGGGCACCACTCATCATTGCCATAATCACCATTGCAGTCACTGCCCCCAAACATGGCTACTTCAGGCAAGATGATGCATGTTGGTTGAACTGGGACCAGACTAAGGCCCTCCTGGCATTTTTGATTCCGGCCTTGATCATCGTCGTTGTGAACCTGCTCATTCTAATCGTGATTGTGGTTAAACTACTGATGAGGGGTGTTGGTGAGAACCGTCAGTCTGAGGAGAAGAATGCTCTGGTGGTCATTGCAAGGTGTGTCGCTGTTTTGACTCCCATCTTTGGCATCACCTGGGGATTTGGCATAGGGACCATGGTGGCACCCGCAAATCCCGGAATCCACATTGCATTTGCAGTCCTCAATGCCTTTCAGGTATGTGGAAATAGTAATTGATACCTGCAATTATTGATTTCTGACATTACATTTAAATGGTATGAACTTTACAAAAATCTGCAAAAACAATGGAACTTTTTTTAGTTAGAAGCTAAGTCATTAACTGAAATATTCATACAAATCCATCTTTTTTTCATATGCATCCTGTAAATACTAACAATTATTTTTAAAACTTATTTTAAGGGCTGCTTCATTTTAGTGTTTGGGACGCTTATAGACAGCAGAGTAAGTACTTACATTTCTGTATTTGGAATACTATTGGAAATTTGAGCTCTATTATACATTGGCATGTATGACACACACATGATAGAGCCCTTTTCTTTATGGACAGATTCGATCAGCTATTGTTGGAAGATTTTCATTTTTGCCTTTGCTGTCTTCCCGAACAAAGGTAACACTATCATTGCATTTCGGGTGTAATGTTCACTTGTCCCATTTTAAGTGTTTCTTAGACACGCAAAATCACATTCTTTAATACTGTACTCACTTCGTATGGCTGGAGGAGATATACTCAGAACAAAACCAAGTGGTCTATTATACTTGATTTAGAAATTGGATTAATGTTACAAAATTTGCAATTTCAAGTATCAGAGACAAGATAAATGATGTGTGGTATGTTCTGTCTAACAGAGCACAAGTGCTGGTCCATCTTTGTCCTCTTTGGCTGACCGTATTAGGCGAAGGGGAAAGAGTAAGTTAAATTGCTACATTCTAATAATCTATGTAATAATGTTACTGAGATTTACTCCATAGTCTGATTGCGATGCTTTGTGTCTGTATGATAATGATGTACAGTAGAAGATATCCCTTCTTATGTCCAGTTTACACCAGTGTTTAATGAAAGAAAATCACACAGTTTGAGTGGTTTCTAGCAAACATTTTATTTGTTATGCTGGTGCCACATGTGAACTTTAATCTGTGTAATTTGCCGTTTGCAGTAACATCCAATGCTCTTTATTTTTCAGACTTTTATAATGTTTCTGAGGCTTCAACAAATCTGAGTGCTTCTGATGCATTTATCACTTCATAGCTGCCTGGCTGCTCAACTGATGCTGTGAATATTTCTCAGAGACAGATATGTGGTTTTACAAAAGAATAATAAATTGATTATTCTCAATTTACATGTTTTTTCCATGGTTTTCAAGGGTGCGTGGGAACCCTGCTAATAAATTATTACAACAAATATGTAAGTAAATAAAAGGATTTGTTTTATATTTTAATTTTTTCCCATCAGCTCTTAATTAATTAGCATTTTTTGTCACTTTCGAGTCTTTGGATATTTATCAATTTTTTTTACAAACACTGTATTCAATCACTTATGCTTCCAGCTGCAATGTTAGTCTCTCTCCATTTTTTAAGGAAATTCTGCAAGAACAGTCCTGATGTAGTATAATGAAATATGTTTATCTCATTGTGGTAATTGTTCAGCATATTTTCATAGTGAAATATGGCGTCAATAACATAAGCAATTTTCTGTTTCATATTTTGGGCTGTGTAATGCTATGCATAATAAAATTATTACCATTCAAGTGTCCGAATGAGTGTCGAAAATGAGGTCCGTGCAGTTAAACTTAGCCCCAGCGTGAAGAATCGACCTAATAAAAGTGTCTGCTAGCTCGCCAAAGATTTTCGCCCACAAACATGAGCTTGGCCATGTTGTAGGTGTTTGAAAATTAGTGTACCCTTCAGAATTTTCTATATTCCTGCATAAACATGACTTAAAACACCATCTGTTTTGGTCTCACTAGATGAGCATGGCTAGCTATCCAAACAGCTAAACACCATCACAGAAACTCCACCAACACATCAATATCTTTCGTGAAGTTTACTGGTACAAGTGTGAAACTGAAACGATACAAATAAGCACAGTCTACATTAACAAACACTACATTAAAATAAATTACAGCAACCAACAAGCAAGCTTTAACATGCAAGTGTTGATTTACTGACCAGGTAAATATTGTAGCGAGCCTATACCATAATCAACAAAATGTATCAAAATATCTGTCTCAACATGTCAACAAATGGTAATAGAACCAAATACTTACAGATGTTGCTTTAACAAAAAGAAATAACCAGAGATGGAGCTTAGTGCAGCTAATACCATCTGTCCACAATTGATGCTCATGCAGCGATCAAATTCCTATCGAACAGTTTACATGTTATAATAAGACAGCCCACAAGGTGGTGCTGTAGCACTAGGTAACATTTGAGTCAAAAACAACATGGCATATATTTAACGAAGCACAACACCATCAGAACTTCATGTACTAAAAGTAGGTAAAGAGAACACAATTGAACAAATCAGACAAAAATATCATACTTGGTCATTTATTTATTAAGAAAAATGATCCAATGTCAGAAATCCGTGAGTGGCAAAAGTATGTGAACCTAGCAGGTAATTTGAAGGTGAGATTAGTGTCAGGTGTTGTCAATCAATGTCATGGTTGTCAATCAACGTGATGACAATCAGATGTGAATGGGCATCCTGTTTATATTAAAAGAACAGGGTTCTATCAAGCGCAGTATCAGTGTATCATGCCGTGGACAAAGGACATTTCAGAGTACCTCAGAAAAAGAACTGTTGATGCTTGTAGTGCTGGGAAAGGCTACAAAGCCATCTGTAAAGGGTTTGGACTGCATAAATCCACAGTCAGACAGACTGGGTACAAATGGAAGAAGTTTAAGGCTATTGTTACTCTCCCCAGGAGTCATCGACCAACAAAATCGCTCCAAGGGCAAGGTATGTGATTGTCCACAAGGTCCACAAACCAAGCGTGACTTCTAGGCAACCAAAAGCCTCTCATCCAGAACTTCAATTCTGTATTTGGACCAACCCTGGTGATAATGCAGGGATCTCCTTTAATGATAGGGTTACTAGGTTTCTTCAGTGAAACCTTTTGGTTCTTTTAGAGTCGAATGATGAAGATTAAGCAGTTTCTTGAAACAAAAAGATTACAGAAAGGTTACAGAAAGATGTCAACACACGGCAGGTACAGTCTGCCTGCATCCTGTCTGCCCCAGGAACCAAAGTGTGACCGCTGTCAACTGGTTCTTCCCATGTGTCAGATACCTGTTGAAAGGCAGACTGAATGGCATTAGTGAGTTTAATGCAGTAATGAACCAGGCTGTCACTAGTAAGGTGAACTTCTGCTTTTTTCAGGTCTATGCTGTCGGGGAAATGCATTGGACGCCCTGGGCTCTATTTTGACGATCTAATGCAAAGCGCATATACCACTAACATTTATGGGCATGTCTAAATCCATTTTACTATTTTGACAGCACAAAAAAACAGACTTTGCACCAGTGCAAGGCACAAAAAGGTGCTTGCTTGAATAAGTAAAAATAACTTGCTAAGTCTACCACCTACTTTCAATATTCCATCTACTGTATATAATCACTCGTTCTAATTTGTGTAACTGACTTGATTCTTTCTTGTACCTCAATTGTTTAATGCCACAAAGTCCCCTTTAAAGCCTTGTCTCAGAAAAGCACTATTGGTTTTCTGCTTTTGTCAAGTCCTCAACAACACGCCCTGGGATGGTTAATTTTATATGTCACTCCGCAGTTTGCTTTCCTGCATAACACAGCTCTTGTGTTCAGATGCATCATTCTGTGTTTTCTTTCTGGCCTTCCTTTGCTATTGAAGTACCTACATAAACTAAAGTACCCATGCCATTACTGCTTTATGGCCTTTGCAGTTGAAAAAGTACTTCAACAATTTGCTGGTGGAACAGTCTTTAGATTTTCAGATTTAACCGCAGTAGATCTAATATTTCACCTCTAAGTCATCATCCAGGATAGCACACACTCTGTTTCTAGCCAGTGAAATGGAGATTAGGAGATAATGTTACTCAAATTTTAGATTAAAGAAAAACATCTGCCATCATGCCTCTTTGAAATAAGATTTTACTTTTTATCTGAAGGGTTACGACCTTTACTATACTAACTGAGCTAATCAAGTCCAAGTCGCCATCCCTTGCTGCATACCACCATTATGACTTTGAGGACCATATAAATAACATATATGTGAAAATGAGGATACTTAATTAATGCTTGGTGACTACAGAAAAATTATGCAGTGCAAAACAGATGGAAACTTATTTGCAAACAACATTTACCTTATCAGGTTATATAATTTCAAATAGTTCCCAAACAAGATAACTTCTCGTCTTGCTGGTAGGCCCCATTTCTCGACCCTGAAATCCAACAACAACTCTCTCAACACACCTCTGACACGCAAGGGTACATGAAGTTTCACTTCAGACTGGCACCTCAGTTGTATCGGTCATGTGATTCTCCTTGAAACGATACGTGCATCGATAAGGGGTTTCAGCAAAAGCCATCATCTGTACTCTACACATGCTTCAGAGCATCGATAATAATTGGACCATCACTAGCTCAGACCTGTATAAAAGTAAATCAGACTTCACATATGAATAACTCAATTAAATATAATATATTGTAGCAACTAGCAGCACCTGAAAATAAAAAAAAGTTTTGTGGGAATTTAATTCAGCAGGTGAGGAATATGTAGCATTTGCACATAAGTTTGTTCTTTTATTTTAACAATGCATTCATTGCACAATAAGCACGTGAGTTTAATATTTGTTGCAGCTGGCCAAGTAAATAAATAATTCCACCATGATGCACTATGGGAAGAATGCAAACCACCAGAGGCAGTGTGATGACCCAGGCAATATTCTGCTGAGTAAATATAGGTCCTGGCATTCATGTAGATGTTACTTTGACATGTACCACCTACCTAAACATTATTGCAGACCACCCCTTCATGGCAACAGTACAGCATTGCAATGGCCTCTTTCAGCAGGATAGTGTACTCTGCCACATTGCAAGAATTGTTCAGGAATGGTTTGAGGAACATACAAAAACAGATAATGTTGATAATGTTGACTTGGCTTCCAAATTCCCCAGATCTCAATCTGAGCATCTGTGGGATGTGCTGGACAACTAATTCCGACCCATGGAGGTCCCACCTCGCAGCTTGACGGACTTAAAGGATCTGCTGCTAATCCCTTGGTGCCAGATACCACAGGACACCTTTAGAGGACTTGTGGAGTCCATGCCTCAATGGGTTAGAGCTGTTTGGGCAGCACAAGGGGGACCTACACAATATTCAGCAGGTGGTTTTAATGTTATGGTTGATCAGTGTATGCACAGTGTATGCAAGAGGTGCAGGCTTGGGGTATTTTTTTGTTCCTCTCCTCTGTTCTCATCTGGCCTTCTCTATTGCATTTCCTTGTCTCCCTTTATACTGATTTTGAATTATTCTGTATAAATGATGCAGGGATGTATCGCAACACAAACACGTAGAGAACTCTGGGGTGACTCCTGGGTGAAAGGTGCTATATAAAATAAATTGAATTGGATTTTGAGGTGATCTGTCTCAAAAATTAATCAATTGCAGTTTGGTACCCATAAAATTCCTTTGCAAAGTTTGAAAAAGATTTCATAAAACTTATTGAGTTATCATCTTAACAGGATCAAGTGTCAAAATTGTCCACTCTGTCCAGTGTTGCCCCCTGAATGGTTTATGCTCTCCTTAATCCAGGATCATTTCTTTAGTTCAATTGTGATTCAATGTTAATTTTTTGTTATAACACCTGCCGACCAGACCGCTGATTTTCTAGCAATTCTAGAAGTTTGTGCATGCTGAACGGAATAAACAAGGAGAAACCGAAATCAGGTGGGATAGCTGTTTTTATCATCTGCTGATTGTGTAATACAAAGCATGTTACTGGGAAAGAACAAATCTGCTGCCTAGATATTGAACTGTTGGCTATGTGTCTGAAACCGTTCTACTACCGTAAGAGTTCTCCGGAAGCTGCCGCTGGTTACATTCCTCAATCAGCAAAGGCAGCATGTGACATCATGCACTCAGCTGCTTAACAACTTCACATTCAACATCCCTGCGCCTTATGGCCATCTCAAGTGACTTGTATAATGCCTGTAAATGTACCTGTTTGTAAAGTGCTTGACAAGATAGGAGAATATGGAGGGAGCGATTCCCCATGATGAGAAATTGGGCAATTTTTGATCGTTCAGCCAGTGTGGCAGGTACTCGGCCATTTTCTTCCTACTAACTGGAAATCAGAAGTCATACAAGTTTAACTCGTTTATAAAAACTTTAACACAGGGGCTTTCAGCCCAGATGGACAGTCGAAAAAATCACAGTCAACCTTCCGCCATGGATTCCACAGAAAGTTTATATTGTTCCTTCCCGAACAGGCTGCTTATCTCTGATGGTCAGATTAGAACAGCGTTAGAATAGTATTAACATGAGGAAAATGTGGCTGTGAGCCTGTGCATATCAGCTGGGAGAGTTTTTTTCAGAATCTGTTCCTACAAGTACAAAGGGTCCTTCCCCATTTGAAAACCACCTGAATAGTAGCCAAGCACCACCAATGATTTAAGGCCAGTGGCACTGGTATTTGGCATTATGAAGACTTTATAAGGGCTGGTTCTAAACCCCTCAGACGACATGTATAAGGCTTCCTCGACACATTGTTTTCT